GACATATTCCTGGACCTTTTCGGAGTAATCCTCTTTGCCATGTTAGTTCTCCACATCTAAGACAGGCTTCCATATACTTACTGTCATTCCATGTTAGATATGCTTTAGCGAGTAAGTATACCACTCCTGGTGACAGAGAAAGAAACAATTCAGAAACATTTGACCATCACCATTAGGTTATTATTTGAAATAATAATTTGATTATCAGTTATCCTTTCAAAACAAACACATCATTTTGTAGAATGTATGCAAATTAGATGGGCTGTATGCAAATTAGTGTAATACATACATAAGACTTTCCGGTAACGCAATGCGGAAGTGAATTATCGATGTCGAAGTACGATCTGTTGGAATTGATTTCAGCGAATAAACGACATAGTTTTTCCAAAAAACTAGTAACTAGCCATTTTTGAGAGGTAAACTGAATATGGCATGAAATATTTACCGCATTTTACTTGTATTAACAGGTCATTGTCGAAGCGTAGGTTACGCACGGTTACCGTGTTCTACGCATTCACAACATGTTCACAGCGATCGATATCCACGCTGTATCATATAAAAACGATTACCAAGATTCGTTACGCAAGACCAATTTTTAGATTAGTTGCATTTTGAAGGGGTGGGCGCTTTGCCGAATGTGACCCCAAATATAAAAATTGCGCAAAAGTGGGGGGTGGGCGCTTGCCCGGGCATGGGTGCTAACGAGGTCGAGTACGGTATTAACCAATCAGGATGGCATCAACTAGAATTCAAGACAATTTATAGTGGTTTGCTCTTACCTGGTGCCCCATGACACCAATGTACCAGTTCATTATCAACTGGTCTTTTCGAGTAACATTCACTGACAGAAGGAGCATAGTTCCCATCTGATGTCTCTATTTTCAAGAAGAAATCAACTGATTCCCTTATATCTTTTTCAATAGATGGATCAGATTTGAAGAAACTCGGGAAATGCATCAAGATCTGTAGTATTGCCGAAAGACCATGGGCAGCACCTGTAATGGGATTATCCATAATTCTTCAAAATAATAAAACAAGCAGTCTGTTGGCTGAGATAGCTCCGCTGTTATCAATGCATAATTAAAGAACTGAAGATATAATTAGAAAATGAACAATATGTATAGTATCAACGCAATCAGACTTGCAGTTTTTAACAAGAAGTCGAAAATATCACTTTTTACCAAAAATTACGAAAATATTCACCAAAATTAGAGAATTATAGATATCATCACAAAATGAACAAATCTGGAGAGGTCCACATGTAGTACGTATAAATGTAATATCAAAGCAATCAGACTGGGAGCCAGGTAAAACTTGCAATGGAAAACAACTACTGCAGTCCAGACTGGGAGCCAGGTAAAACTTACAATGGAAAGCAGCTACTGCAGTCCAGACTGGAAGCCAGCTAAAACTTGCAATGGAAAGCAGCTACTGCAGTCCAGATTGGAAGCCAGCTAAAACTTACAATGGAAAACAACTACTGCAGTCCAGACTGGAAGCCAGCTAAAACTTACAATGGAAAACAACTACTGGAGTCAAGACTGGGAGCCAGCTAAAACTTACAATGGAAAACAACTACTGAAGTCAAGACTGGAAGCCAGCTAAAACTTACAATGGAAAACTAAATGTTGAGTAAATGTGGTGGATACTCATATATCTTATACTGGCCACCAGAGGGCGCTGATTTAAATGCATTTTGCTTGGACCTTTTTCAAAGTTAAAATAACCTTCCAATTAATTTTAACTTTTATTGCTTGACAGTTGGAAATATTCTTACCCAAATATTCTGTATCATAATATGCATACATCAATGGTATAGGGGAACGATGACGTTTTGAATAGTCTCGACCAGAAGCTACCATACTGTTACACAGTGCATGTGCTGTCTCATTAGGTATAACCTACAGAATCAGGATAATTTAGAGTATACTGTCAATAACTGATACCAAACACAATGTTCCAGTCATACAAGTACTTTTAGAGAAAGATCCAATGTTTGTGTCTTTAACAAGATGTATGTTCTGGTAGTGTGTCAGGCTGAATTCACACACACAATTATCAAATACATAAATATTATATTCTCAGCATTCCCTTCATCTTGATAAATATTTATAGATTTTAATTGCTTTTAAACTGAAATGAGAAGTTTCAACTGGCCAATTGAATAACATATGACTAATTTTAAATGACGTCTTTATGCACTGTATTTGCTGATTAGATTCCACTGTCATTGAAATTTATAAATATTCATAAAGATGAAACAAATGCCTTTGTTGTGCTTGGAATATCAAAATTGAAAAGCTCATTCAAAGTATGTTTATGATGCATACATTTATAAACAAAAGTCCAATGAACTACATAATGTACTATTTCGCAGCATAATGTTTCTGCATGTTAAATAATCTGAAGATCTATGTTTTTGAGTGAAACTTAGAACACTATGAAATGTAATTAATTTTCTGATATTACTCTGAAAGTTTTCTATAGAAAGAACCAGAACCAGCACTGTTTAATTAAAATCAATTACAATGCAATTCAACATAGAATTGTGTTTTAATTAAGTTTAATTAAATGACAGTTGAATATTCTGTGATTGAACATAGAAATGTTTGGGAAGCTTAGGTTTAGTAAAGGGGTAATTATGGTACAATTATATTAATATAAATTGAACCATACCTTCCCACTTAACTAAACCTAAGCTACACAAACTTCACCTAAAATCGATTAAATATTAATATAAATTATGAAATTAGTGAGGGTCATCACAATGTAGTTCCTGTTGTCACAAGTCAGTTTGAAGTTAAATTGAAGTTGTCACAATGTTGGTACCACACACACACACTCGCACATAACCCACAGGTCTCACATGAAAAATGTAGCCATTAATTAATTTCAGTTAATTACATCACACACAATTAGAAATAAAGTTCAATTAAACTCAAATAAATTGCAATAATTCAATGGTTTTGGCATTAAATTTATGATAAATGTAGGTATACTGTATGTCAGTCTGTTAGCCAGCCACCAGTCCACCCACCAAATGGACTGGCAACTTTGATTTTGAACTGGCAACTATGTCAACCCAAAAACTTAATGTAATGCCATGACATGTATTTCATTAAATATTAATTTTCCCTGTGACACAACTCCAGGTTCTTGTTTATACAACCAACATAAATGCGTTTATTGTAAATAATTAAAATAATTAGTGAGTACATAGTGGGATGTACAATGACTGCCAGTACACATTAAGGGATACAACTTGTTTGGGTCATGCATTGGAATTCTCTCACTTACAAAGCTTTCTACCTATGTTACTGCAAAAAATGTGCACATATATTGTTGTTGAAAAGTAGTGTACATGTGGTATGTAGGTTGTAACATACCTGTGTGCCCAATGCTTTATTCAGATATAACACACCACAAAGGTACCCAGCACGTCCTACAAACAATTCATCCGATCCACATTTAAGAAATCTTACTGGTTCACAAACAGCAGCTAGATCAATGTACCTAAAACATAACATTAAATAAATACCAAATATGTCGTTACCATGGTTACTCTTTTGCAGAATAAATAAATAAATAAATAAATCTGAGTCTATTATATCATGAAAGATATTTTGTACAATTTACATTTTAACATAGTCGGCCACTTTTGCATCATCTCCCAATGTTTTGTACAGTAAGGCTCCAGTCATGTATACGCCGCCATTGCCAAGAAGTAAACCCGCTTGTTGAGTTCTATGAATTCGGGATTTCTTTAAATATAAATCATGAGCCGAAAGATATTCCTGAGCACGTGCTAGGTGTTCGGACTTTTTGTCTTGGAAGTTGCCAGATGAAGCTAGTCGGTAAAATGCACAAGCTAAGCCAGCGGGTCCTACGTAAAGTCCGCCGTCGGCATTGTCAAAATTGGCTTCTTGATGACGGGCAATTTGCTGACAGACGGCGTTTACTCGTTCGTAGATAACTTCTTTTGGAACGTGTACTACCGATCCAGGAACAAAATCCTTCAGAGTGTTCACAAAGTAACGCATATTTTTTTGCAGAATAAGGAGAAATCCAGCACGTCAACATTCACAGCCGGTCACCATTTTAGGGTCAGTTGGGGTCAGTTACATTTGATGCACAGTGCCCGCGAGGGCGCTCACACCTCACTTCCTCCTAAGTTGTCTGAGCTTCCTCTAGAGTCCCTTTATAAATGGACTCTAACTTTCTCACATATTTTAAGCTGTTCAAAAGTGATTTTTTGTTTGACATCAGTGCGCGTCTCGGATTTATAGAATTTTGTGAAATTAAACAAGTATGCAACAGAGGTCATCCAGGATAAATGACCAATTTGCAGCAATTTAACGCCAATTGTAATTCCTGTTTTACGATGTTTGCGACATGTCTTGCCTGCCATGTCCACGCGTTTACATGAAAGAAGGAAAAACATACATCCGTACATTCAGTCTGTGAAGGATCATGTCAGAAACTAAAGATATGATGACAAGAAAACTGGATACAATTCTTTTTGATAACAATGACTGAAACTGGCACTAAAGTTGTTCTTTTATTTCTGAATTCTTTACTGTATTTGATGTATTCTCATTTAATAGTCTACCCTGCCTATGTTTTTGAAGTGAATATGTATATACATTCAGTTTTGTGGGATGTAAATTTAAAAATGAGTGTGTTAGAAAGCTAACATTAAGAAAAGAAAACCAATGGTTTCTGTCCAACTAAATCTCTCACCAGTTCACTCGTATATGTCTGCATGTACGTTTAATTAGTAAAATCTAAAACAGTTTTCTTTATTAAAAGACAAGGCTTAAAGTTAAAAGAAAACATGTAAAATACTGCCCGATTACGTTAGAACTACCACTATGTTAAATAAAATGAAATAAAAATTGTAATAACAAATTATTTTGCCATTGGCGTCTTATTAGTTCATGAGCCAAGTGGCTAAAAATGGCGGATCATTACCACTCGGGGTGGCAAAGGCTATCATATATCAAATTGAAGCTTATTTTGTGTAGATTCCGAAAAAATATGATAGCAATTTTTTTTGGTAGCTTAAAGCGGTCACGTGATCTTGACGTTAAACCACCATGCATATTCATACAATTCTTTGAATTGCGTTTTTTGGCTATTATTTTCCCAAAATGTAATCAGCTAACATAGCTACTGTTGTGACATGTTGGTACTTTGATGTATATTTTTGCAAGTAAATTTAACTTTCGAATTTTTCGAAAAAATCACGTGACAATGACGTCATCATGAC